GTCTGTCGCTCAGGCACTTGCTGTGTGTGGCTGGGAGTGAGCACGGCTGGGTTGGCAGTCTGGGGCTGTGACTTCAGAGGTGCTGGGGGGAGGGACAGCACATTGCTGCGGGCCCTGCGAGGCTCCCTGCATCCCAGTTGCAGCCAGGAGCCAGCTGGATGGGACCATGCCCACCAGTCTGATGAGGCTGTCCTGGAAAGGGCTGGAGGCCGGGCATTCACTCCCCAAGCAACCTTTCCTGCACAGGGAGAAGGGACAGAGACAGTTTGGGAAAACCGTCTTGTGACTTAGAGGGACATCATCTTGGTGGGTCTCCACCCTCTGCCCGCCGAGCCGCTGGTTTCAGCAGAAGGGGTCTCCCTGCTTCTTCTCCTGGGCCTCTGGGCCAGAGACACCCTCCCCTCCGTCCCCAAGCCCAGCCTGTCCCTGGGTCAGGGGAGTCCTTGGGGCCAACCCCGGGGATTCTTCTCTTCCTCCTCCTCCGTTCCCTTCGCCTCCTCCTTCTTTTTTAAAAAAACCTTTTTAACTTAACTTTCGGAGAGACTTTTTTTTAAAAATCAACTTTGCCCTTTGGGGTCATTGTAGGTTTGCAGGAAGGTTGCAGCATGTGAGCACAGGGGGTCCCCACACCCCTCGGTCCCCTCCCTCGGGGGGCACGGACATTTGTCACCCTGAGATGCAGGATAGTAACTGGACTCCCAACCTCGTCTGGGTCTCAGTTGTGTGTCCATGAACTTTGTCTTTCTGCTCCAGGATCCACACCAGGGGCCGGGGTTACCTTTTTCAGAACGTTCACGCTCGGGGAGTTATTTTAATGGCCACGTCAATTGTGATGACAGCTGTGTATTAAGTGGTTAAGAGCAGGCCACTTGGAAGAAGTACATCGTAAATATCAGTGACGATGACACGCAGCCCCACTGAAAGGAAGGGCGTTGTTCATGGTCCCCTGAGAGCCAGTGACAAAGTGTGTCCCCGTCCAGGCCGGGGCCCCCTCCGCCACATGACAGCACCTCTCTCCTCCGTAGAAGGGAGGTAGGAAGGAGGCGGAGGAAGCTCTCGGTGGAAATAACGTTTCCAGTTCAATTATTCTACTGATCCTTGACCCCCTCATTCCCATGGATAATCAAAAACTGGCTGGATGCATCGTGTTTTAAGTAAAAAACACCTTTTACTTCCTTTAAGTAAAAGGAAGTGGCCTTGGGGACGTGTGGGCGGGTGGCTGCCTGGGGTTCGCGTGCAAATCACACCAGGGGGGGCCTGATCCGCAGGTAATGACAGCAGCGGCCATCGGCACCGCGTCGCACAGCTGTGCGGGCTCCTTTCCTCGGTGGCACCCCTCTTTTGACGATGAGGCCTGTGTGGGGGAGGGACCCAAGCCTGATGAGGGGACAGGCTTAAATGGAAACCTGGGTGCGTGGATCCCCGACGTGTGGAGAGGGCCGTGTCCCACAACCTGCTCCTCAAGAAGCCCTTGCGCCCAGCGGGAGGCTGAGACCAGGCCCCTCTCGGGCTCGCATGCCAGGCAGGTCCCACCTGGTTTGTGACTTAGTAGGTCTCCCATGCCAGGCCTGAGCTGGCTCTGGGAGTGAGGGACTTGATGAGTGTGGCGCTCAGCAGATGGCCACCAGGGCCGACGGCGTCCAGCGTGGCGGGGAGTGCGCGGTCCCCCTCCATGAGTTCTCAGGGAGGGACAGGCAGGCCGTCTCGCAGGCTCCGGCAGGGTCTGGGTTCTTCACCCGTGCGGTCCCCAGTGTGGACCAGAGTGCTGAAGTGAGCACACACGCACACATGTCCCCCGTTCTCATCGCTCGTCCGCCACCTCTGGGACCAGGATGCGGTGCTAGGCTCAGTTCAGTGCCTTGAAGAGGGCTGCCAGGGGTGGGGGTGGGGGACGGGCAGGCAGATGTGGGACCATCCAGAGAGACCTGTCTTGTAGTCGCTATCGATTTGACTCATCCGAGGCACAGAGAAGCGCTGCTCAGCCTGCCCTGCTCGCTGGTGAGGCCCGGCCGGGCCCCCGGGCCCCAGGTTTCCTGCTCAGACTCACCCACATGCCCAGCCCCAGTGAGCCAGGTGGCAGACTGCAGAACAGCCACGGGGGCGGAGCGGGGTGGGGGCAGCCACAGCCAGCCCCTCCCTGTGGCCTTCTGCTGTGCAACTGAACATTTGGGGACTGGAGGAGGCCCGGGGACCCCGCTGGGTTCCCTTGGCCGTGGCCATGTGTGCTGTTGGGGCGGTGGGCTGGTGCCTGCGGCGTCGCCCCCGGGGCCCCTTATTCCTGTCCCCTGCTCCCCCTTGGACCCCCAGGGCGTCTGACGCCTTTGCCTGGCTTGGCGGCTTTTTCTCTGAGATAGCTTTGTGGTGCAGCACAGCCATTGTAGGCTGCAGTTTTGCCAAATGAGCCTGGCTTTTGGCAAGGGAGCGATCCTATCTTTTTTTTTTTTGGTTTGTTTCCTTGGGAATAAAAGGCCCGAGGAAGCAAGTTCACCATTCTTTGGAAATTTCTTTCTCTTTGGTGACTGTTGCCACTCGCTTAGCTCATTGGCTGTTTGCTGCCTGCTCCGGAGAGCTGAATCACATCACGGCACTGAGAAAAATTGGAAGGGGAGCGAGGCATTTATTATATTGAGATATAACTCACACACTATAATGTTTATCCTTTTAAAGTGTGCAATTTAGTGGCTGTTAGTATAGTCACAAAGTTGTGCAGTTGTCACTATTATGTAATTCTAGAACATTCTCTGCTCTCCTCAAATGAACTGCATCCCCATCAGCCCTCACCTCTCTCCCTCCCCCAGGCCCTGGCAAGCACTCACCCGCTTTCTACTCACCGGTTTGCTGCTCTGGACGGCTCTTTCACTGAGCACAGCCTGTTCAAGGTTCCCTTTATTTTTATTTGTTTTTTAATCTTTATCTGAGGACATTTTTTCATTGCTTTCAACAGAGATGGATGGAAGGGAGAGGGGGGTGAGAGAGATAGAGAGAGAGAAACACGGATCGGTTGCCTCCCATACGCCCACCGACGGGGGTGGGGGAACTGACCCCACATCCTAGGTACACGCCCGCCGTGGCGAGGATTGCACCTGCCCACGGGACGATGGTCCAACCGGCCGAGCCACCCGGCCAGAGAGGACCTTCTTCCTTTTAGTCTCCTAATGCTGCTCCGTTGCAGGAATATGCCACATTCAATTTATCCATTCAGTGGTTGGGATATTTACTTTTCATCAACTCCAGAGGTATTTTTTAAAAAGTAGTTCTTGTAGAGGAAACTTTTCATGAATTTATCTTCTCAAGGGGCATTCAGACTGCGGCTCGAGAGGAAAAAGGCAAACGAGGTTATTTCAGGCTCCAGGGACAGGCTCGTCCCTGAGGACTCCCCTGGTGAAACCTGGGGTGCTGCTGACCAGGCCCCCCCCAGGGAGCCTCGCGCACCCCGGCCTGCTCCTCTTCCACGGCTCTCTGCTCTTGAGCAGCTGGGGGTTCCCCCTACTCCGGGGAAGGGCCCATCTCTCCAGCATAAAGGGGGGATGTTTTGCTGGCGTGTCAACCTGCATTTCCAGTGCCTGCCTCCCCCTCCCTCCCCACGTCCGTGGCTGCCCGCGCCTTCCCCATTTGGGCAGCAGATCACTCGTGAGTGCCCGACTGTTGCGCACAGTCAGCCCTCCCTGGCTTACCTCTTGCTGTTGCTCTTGCCTGTCACACTCTTATGCATCCTGCAATACCCATCTCCACTGTCATCTCCTCCAGGAAGTCTCCCCAAACCCTCTTCCCCTGGGCTGCCCCAGCACTGTGTTGGTCTGCCCAATGGCCTGGGGGGTGGGGGTGGGGCTCTTATGATACTCAGTAGCAGCAGAGGTGCTAGTGACCATAAATCAGACCCGACGCCGTGTCAGTGCCTGGCAACAGGCATTGACTCCTTGGTTGCTGGGTCCTGGGAGTCCCTGGGAGGGGAAGGGATGCTGGGGTTGATGTCAGCTGACTGCGCACCTGTCCCTCTCCCGTTCTCGGCTGCACGTGCCCCCTGTAGCCTCTTGCACGCTCATGGTTCACACTGCCAGCAAGGTGCCTGCTCACCAATACGGCGGCTCCAGGAGTGGCAACCATGGGAACCTGCATAATCTGGTTCGAAGCCCAGCTCACGGGGCCAGATGAGACCCCGCCAAACCCCATCTAGTGAACAGGAGGCTTTGGCGCACGTACAGCTGTTCCCGGAGGCGAAGTGGGCTGAAGGAGCAGCAGCCTCCGGTGAGAGCCAGCCTGAAGGAGTTAATGTGCATCACTCTGCGTGGACGGCTTCGCCTCCGGTGGCCCCGGCTCGCCCCAAATGTGTTTCTCGCCATTAGCTCCTTTTCCGGTTTAGAGATCCGATTTGCTTCTCAGCCCCCGCCATTTAGTGTAATTGGATTTTTCACCCTCCATCACTCCCGAGCTTGCTCCTTCCAAAGTCACAGAGCCCAGGGCAGGGACTCGGGTGGGCAGAGAGAGGAGCTCATCGTGGCGCAGAATTGAAGGGGCCCTCAAAACCTCTCCATCAAGACCACAGCTCAGGGCCATGCGTGCAAAATAAAAATCAACACCAAAAATTTTACACTGAACCCCCTGTGAAAATGCTGGTTGAAGGCGGCCCCGCAGAGACCGTTGGGTGGCCTCTGACAACGGGGTTAGGTGCCCTTCTGGGCCCTCGGGAGCCCCCAGGCTCACGAGGGGGCTTTGGCGATGCTCCTCCCTCCCTCCCGGGGCCAGGAAAGCAACCCCGCTGGCTCTCAGCTCTCCACCTGCGCAGAGTCCCTTGGTCTGTAACCTGGTGGGTGCTGCACCCCCATTCCAGGCTGCAGTCCCTCTCTAGGGGCCTTAGACCCCCAGTCCCCGGGTGGAGAGCTGGTCTCTAATGTTTCCCTTCTCCGTGTCTCTCTCTTCCTGTTTTCAAGCGCTGCTGCTGTGACATGAAGAAGCGTAGAGACGTTCATTCACTTCCTATTTCTGAGCCTGGGCTGCTTCCATCTCTGCCCGAGTCTCCACATCTGTGCACGGCGCCTTTTCTCCGTTAGATGCGGGTGGCTCAGAGGCTGAGCCCTGGGAAGTCAACCTCTTTTCTTTTCTCTTCTAAACCGCAGGGGGTCTCTCTCTGCCCTGCAGAGCAGGACCCGCGGTGAGACAGGTGCCAGCTCCCTGCTCTGGGAGGAGTGTCCCTGGGCCCCCTCTCTCGGGGGGGCGGGCCCACCTGTCTTTGCCCTGGCTGTGGATGCATTCTCGGTTTGCGTTGGAATCTGAGCGCCATCGGCCCAAAACTCATCCCTCTTCTTACAGGTATGTAACGTGCTGTACCAGATAGGTATACAGAAGGTGTCAGTTTAAAAAAAAAAACAAAACAAGATTTGTTTTTTACTGTGTGCTTGCTGATGTGTCTTCGAGCACATGGTTACGGAGAAGACGCTCCGTAGGACTGGGCCTGGCCCGGCTGGGTAATTCTCTTGGGTGCTTCACCCCAACTGTTGCTTTTGTCAAAATATTGACTGCAAGTCCCGATGCCTGTCAGGAGCCAGATCCATAGTCCACGCTGCACTGAACGTAAAAATGAGCTGGGAGGAATATCTGTGGCTTCGTCACAGTGTTTTCATGGGCAACGGCAGACCGAACCCAACAGCAGGTGTGAATGGGTTAGAAACGTCGCTTACATTAGCCCCGAGCTTGGAAAACAAAACGTACAGTAGACTCTACAGGTCGAGACCCTTGGCAGTGGTATTATTTACGGCTGTCCTGCTGGTCAACCGCCCACGGGAGCATTTTTCAATGTGATTTACCAGGGGCCGTGGACTCTGGGCCATGTATTTCTACAGGAGTTTGGTTTCCCAGTCTCCAAAATAGCTAAGAGCTGGAGGGCCTGTCTGATAAGGCTGGAGCCCGAGTTCTGGGAGGTGACACGGGTCTCCGTTCCCGCAGCAAATCTTACTCTAAGAATGAAACCCGAGATGTTATCTGCCCCCAGTGCCGCGGGGAACCGGATGCAACCTAGGGGAATGGTAACACCGCTGACTGGGAAAAGCAGGACAAACGTCAGGGCCTGTCTGAAATAACGTGCCTTTTTTAACCGGCCTCCTTCCATTACCCCAGGAAAGATCCATCATTTAGGATCACAAGGTGACTACTAATTAGAGCAAGTGTTCTGCAGGCATCACGGGGGCTGTGGGAAGATTTGGAGAAAGCCAGAGGGTGGATGAAGGTTGCCCTCCGACTGGGAAGCTGGGGGCGGGGGGGTGGTCGTGGAGGAGAAAGTCCATGGGAGCAGGGTCACCCCCAAGTGTCTAGCTGGGCTACCCTGGTGTGGCCATGCTCGGGAATTTCTGCAGAGCCCGTTAGGAGCAGCCGCAGGAAGGCTTCGCTCTGCCTTGCGCTGGGAACCGAGTGAGAGGCGGTTGCGGGTCTTCACAGCTTGCGTCGTAGTTTCCATAGGATCCCTGCGAGGTCACAGTCAGGGTGTGGCCACTTCTTCTGGGGCAGGGATGTGGGATGTCTTTTGAATATAGAGGCACCGAAGGAGTGTGCAGGCTGAGTCTCGGTGTCTCCCAGGGTGGCCTTGTGGCTCGAGGAGCCAGGGCCACGGCTGCAGGTGGAGGAAAGCAGCTACAGCAAAGTCCGTCGCCTCCCATGCAGGGGAGGGCCTTCCTGTTTCAACGCTCTCTTTAAGGACTCACTCACTGCTTCTCATGTGTACACATTCGTCTTTGTGTTCTGAGATCCTTGGAGACTCACATGCAGCTGTAAGAAATAACCACAGGATCTCTGGTGGCCACCCTCAAGTCCATCCCGCTTTCCTCCTCTTAATCCCGGGTAAACACCCGCCTATTCTTCGGTCCCATAACTTGGCATTTCAAGAACCTTATATATGGTCATGGGGAGGTAGAACCCAGCCCAGGGCGTATAGTGAGCAATGTTCTGATAACTACGTACTGGGGTAGGTGGGCACTGGACATATTGGGGGACCACTTTGTAACGTATATGATTACCTAACCACTATGCTACACACGGAAACCAACGTAAAATAATATTGAAAGTAAACAGGAACTGGAAAATAAAGCATTTTTTGGAAGGACGCTGTATAAACGGAAGCAGTGTGTGGCTTTGGGGTCGGCTTTTCCACTCAGTGTAGTCCTCTGGAGGGTCGCCTGAATTGTTCAATATCCAGGTATTGAGAGTCTCCCCCCGCCCCGTTTATTGCTGAGCGATATTCTACGACATGGACATAGCACTGTGGCTGAAACGGTCCCCTGCAAGGGACATCTGGGCTGGTTCTGGCTTTTGTCCGGACAGACCTGGCTGGGCTGCGGTGTGAACAGAAGTCGTCCTTTCTCTGGGTCCAGTGCCCAGGAGTGTGGTTTGCGGGCTGAACCAGAGCCACGTGTGTGGCTTTGGAAGAGAAACTGTCCAACTCTTCTGCAGAATGGCTGTCCCACTCCACACCCTCCCGCGTGTGCCTGGCTTTTCCACGCCATCAGCTGCATCTGGGGTCGTCACAGTTTTCTATTTCTGCCGTCTGACAAGCGTGCGGTTGCACATTGCTGTGATTTTCATGTGTGTTTCTCGGGCAGCTGATATGTTGACCGTCTTTTCATACATCTGTGCGTTTTCTTTGGCTTATATTCTAATTGGGTTGTTGTTGAATTTTTTTCTAATGTTAAGTTTTCATTGTTCTTTATATATTCTAGACATGAGTCTTTTATCAGATGTGGGGCTCGCAAATATGTTTTTCTGGTAGCAGAGACATTCGTCGAGCAAACAGTTCTAATTTTGATGAGGTCCGATTGATCGACTTCCCCCTAGGGTTCATGCTTTTGGTGTTAAGCATAAATACTCTTCCCTGTGTCATAGATCCTGAAGATTTTCTCCTATTTTTTTCTAGAGCCTTGTAATTTTACATTTAAGCCTATTTTACATCTTGAGTTAATTTTTGTGTAAGACGGGAAGTTTAGGATGAGAGTTATTGTTTTGCTCATGGAGGTCAATTGCTTCAACCCTATTTGTTAAAGAGGTTGTACTCTCCTCAGTAAGTTGCTTTTGAAGCTTTGTTAAAGACCATTTGGGCATATTTGGATGGGCTTATTTGTTTTTGTAAATTCTGTTTTATTGATGTGTCTTTTCCTCACCGATATGACACAGTCTGGATTACTGTAGCTATGTAATACTTTTTCAAATCAGGTAGACCGATTCCTCCTATTTTATTATCCTTTTCCAAAATTGAGCTATTCTCACTCATTTATTTTCCTATCTAAATTTTAGAATAATCTTGTCTTTGCCCACAAAAATTCTTACTGGGGTTTTGATAGGAAAAGGAGCCTTGTGTGTAACTTTGGGGCGATCTGACAGCTTTATAATCCATGAACACAGTATGTATCTTTATTTTTTAAAAAATTGTTTTGCTTTTCTCTGAGTTCTTTTGCCAGTGTTTTGTAACTTTTAAGCATAGAGGTCCTATGCATGTTTTATTAGACCTTTGCCTAAATATTTCATTTTTTTGCTGAATAGTTATGTGTTATCCAAATGACCCACTGTGTATCTGGAGGGTGGTGGTAGTTTGTGATTTTCAGGGAGTTGTTGGCCCGTGCAGTCTAAGTTACCAAGTTCATGTGAACAGAGTCACGCGCACGGGGTCCCTCCTCCGCAGGGTCTGCAGGTGCAGCCTGGGGCGTGCGTTCGTATCTTCTCTCTATTCTCCCTCAATCTTAGTAAAGATTCCAAAGATCAGTTTTATGATCTTACTAAAGAACAAGCTTTTGAAAAATGGACCTCGTTATCTTGCTGTTCTCACTTCCTCAATTTCTTCCTCATTTCCTTCCTTCTGCTGGCTTTGGGCTGGTCATGTTTTTCTTTCACTGGATTGTGGAGGTCAGAGCGTGGGTTATTGACTGGAGGCTCTCTCTTTTCTCAGAGAAACACCTGGTGCCATAAAGTTCCACTAACTCGTGGTTTTGCTTTTCACTTTCATTCATTCGATGTGTTTTTTGTTGCCCCGGACATTTCCTCTCTGACCTGTGGGTTACGGAGCAGCGCACCGACCGGTTTCCCAGTGTCTGCGGTTTCCTGTTATCTTTCCATTGTTCATTTCCAGCCGGCTCCCCCTGCGGCCACACGTGCTGCGTGACTCCAGCCCTTCGGACGTGCTGAGGTTGGCTTTGTTGTGTGGCCCGAGGGGTGACCTGTCCTGGTGCAGCAGCCTGGCTCCAATCAGGGAGTCGAAGCCACAGAGTAGATTCGACCAGAGAAGTTTCACGCCACAATGGTTAATGCTACAAAGAGGGGTCTGGACACCGGAGGGGTAGAGCTCACTGGCTGCGCCAGCGGGGTGAGCAGCGGTGCTCCGTGGACGCCCAGCCGCAGGCGGGCGCATGTGGACTGAGCAGGAGTGGGGCTGCGGGCAGGTCCGCAGCAGGTTGAGGCCGCGGGGCTGGCTCCTGCAGACAGTCTGGCACCCAAACTTCTCGGCCAGCCCCCTGGGCCCTGCTGGAAATCGCAGGAAGCCTCTCCTTCCTGGGATGTCCTCCCAGCATCTTCTGTTTCCAGAAGACTAATTGTAAAATTAACCTGCAGTAATGCATGCTTAAAATTGTTACATAGGGAGGAGGAAGAAGTGGAGAATGATTACTATATGTAAGTAAACTCATTCGTGAAGCGCACATAGAAATCAGACACACAGCCCCTCCCAGCCTCCCTGTGCTAACTGACCATGAGGCTGAAGTTTACGTCACGACGTTCCCATTCCAGACTCCACTTGCCCTCAGGACAGAACCTCAGCTACCCGGGGTTCTTGACCTCCTGGAGTATCTCGTAATCCCTGAAAAATCTGAATATTTACTTGTCCCCCCCAAATCGCAGTCACACTAGTGTGTGGCTGTAGGTCCTTTAGGGAAGACTGGGAGGAAGATTCATAGCGTGTCTGTGTAACAATAATACAGGGTCCTTTTCCGAGGGGACCCAGGCTTCTCGCCAATCAAGGGCCCCCGGGAACTGCGAGCTATCTCAGGTCTGAAACCTGGAAGGAGGGTGCGGGTCTCGGTGACCAAGCCAGGTTACTAGCTACCACACTTAGAGGGTTTCTTGTTATGCAGATCAAGCAAAGTCCTGGCAGGCTTGACCCCTATGTCACTGTGAGGGACACCTTGATCAAGCAGCTCCTGCAGCTAGAGATCTCTGAGACCCAAAGAATGCAGACCGCTGGCATGTCACTATGCCCACTCTGTTACTGACACCCAAGGCTGCCCCTTGGCCTCTGCAGTCCTGTCTAAACCTTGGAGCCCAGCTTCAGGGTGGCGTCC